ACTCCCTCTTTCGTCCGTGTGAAGTACGGTCGTCTACCTCCCGTGAAGTTAATACATCACCAAAACAGTCTCACCCGATAAATAAGTGGCGTAGGCCGCAAACAACACAAGTGTGGGAAAAACTATGCGAAGATGTCAAGCGTACAGGTGTATCGTCCTGAGAAAGGCGAACGCGTCCGACGTACGTGGGATCAGAGTAGCCACGTTGGGAGCGGTCCCAGGGAAAAAAGTGAGGATCATCAACGACTTCTCGTTTGACCCAAGCAATAGTAAGGAAGGGGTCAAAAGGTGGGCTCAACAAAGATACCATTATGCCTGGAGTTCCACGGTGCCTGTGCGGCGAAGCACTACCAGCTTTCCTCGAGGAGCTCACTAGCCTACGAGTAAGATGGCCCGACAAGAGCATTCTCGCAGCCAAGGCTGATGTCACCTCTGCGTTCAGAAATGTGAGGATGTCACCAGATCATGCACACAACTTTTGCTACGTGATAGGAGACGTGCTAGTAGCGGATCTACGGCTGACCTTTGGCTGGGCAGCGTCACCATGATTGTGGGGTGTGTTAGCCTCCGCTGCAGAGCACTCGCACCGCAACACGTCCCTCGCGAACGCTCGACTACTACCAGAAGGAATCGCAATGATGTCTCACGTGAAAATAAAACCTCCTTGGGAAAAAGGCACCCCATCCTCAATACCCTCGTAGGCAGACNTCATAGACACGCATGATGGCAGAATTGCAACTACACCGGAACGGGTAAGTAAGCGTGATTCGGAACGTACTAGAGGCGGATTGGCCCCACGATAGGAAGAAGGCCAGTGTTCAAGAAGTCCTCAGCATTGCAGGAAAACTGTGGAACCTCACTTATGTTATCAGGGCCGGTAGGTACTTCGTGTGGCAACTGCTCCGCCTATCGGGTCTGCATACGCAAGCCAGTCGACACACACGGTCACGACGACTAGTGGACTTGGGTAGAGAGTTCCACGGCGATATCGCCTTCTGGAAGTGGGCCCTCAATCAGCCACTGGCACTTCGAGGGGAGTCCCTCAGCGCATCGTTCTTACTCCACGTAAAACGAGCACCCTCACGCCTTTACCTCTCAGACGCTAGCTTCACAGCGATTGGCGGCTACTGTCCCGAACTAAAGACTTTCTGGAGATACACGATCGAATCATCGTTGTCTGCGGAGCTCAAGCGCAAGGCGCAAGAGAAGGAGACGTCAGACATTACGATCAATCTGTTAGAACTCGCGGGCATGTTCATGACGGCGTGGGTAGTCCAAATGATCTTGAAAGACAGACCTGTAGAAGAAGGGCAGTCGGTGTTGATGCGTGGAGACAACGTGTCGGCCGTCAGTTGGACTAACAGGTGTGGGGGATCGCGTGACAGGCGCGCTAGCCTCATAATGAGACTCATGGGTAGGATGGAAATTTCTTGCGGCTGGTGCCACGTGGCTAAGCACATCCCTGGTCGAATGAACACACTTGCGGACGGGATCTCACGTTGGGAAGAAAATGAGATCGCCGCCAACGTGAAAATGCTCACAAAAGACTCAGGGTGGACACAGCAGGATATTGGAGTAGGGGGACGAGCGTTGCTCAACATTATCCTACAAAAGAAATTGCCGAAAGAAAGTCTGGACGACTCGGTATGGGACATTATGGTCGAAGGAACAGAAAATATCTGACACGGCAGAGGGGGCGGTCGGACACCGCTCTGTGTTCCGGACGATCAACGAATTATCATACGAAATGAGATAGCGAGAAGCTGGAGCGGTGGACACGCCTCACATTCACTGTTTCATGACGCCTTGATGAAATGGATAGCCGGGGGAGGCAGAGTTGGTTTGGACGACCAAGTTTTCCTGTTCTCCCTCCAAGCCAAGTCGGGGCTATCCACGGGTTCGGCATGAACTTGTCGTACCTTGGGAAGGAACCTCGAAATGTGCGCATTCCTCACGCTGTGTATACCCGATGATTGGATATCAGGAACTCAGGGAAAGGATGGCCGGGGAGGCACGAGCGCCGAGGGGGAGCGGTTGGTCAACGCACTCACCTTCGGGTCTTTGGGAAGTGGTACCAACAAGGTGTATCAAAGGATGTGGAACACGTGGAAGGAGGCTCGAGCAGGGGCGGGTTCGGGCCCGTGGCTCCGCGAGAGCGATGGGGTGGAAAGTGCGGTGCGTGAGCTGTCTGTGTTCATGGCTTGCCGGTGTTTCGGTCACAAGAACCAGAGTCAGACTATCCGCGGGTATCTCTCAGCCATCAAGTACTTCCATAAGATGCACGCAGGATGGGAGTTGCCCACTTCGCATTTCCAGATCCTTGCCATGTTGAAAACCATTGATAGGGTCCACGCCAATACGCAGGCGAAGCCTAAGGTTAGGAATCCCCTTTCATGGAACATGCTAGAGGCTGGAAAGTGCGTGGTCGAAAATTCGGGAGAATCAGGGAAGTTGATCTGGTGTGGACTTGCCCTCTCGTACTTGCTGATGTGCCGAGCTTCAGAAATCTGGGCGGACGACTCGGGGCTCGTGCACTCGGATTTTTGTCTGACAAGAGGAGACCTGGGTTTCTTTTGCGGTCCGGTAAGGGTTGCATGGGCAGACCGGAGGCAGGCTAGCCAAGTGGAAGTCACGTTCAGAGCGTCAAAAGAAGATCAAAAACGTTTGGGAGCAACCGTCACAAGATCGGGAGTAGCGTTGAAGGTGTTACTCGATCTGTTAGATCTGCACCCCGAGCTTGGGAGTCATGCGCCGTTGATGCAATCGTGGGCACAAGACAAGTGGAAGGTTATTTCGAGGGCAGAGGCATCGAGACACCTCAGGTTACTCGTGAGTGCGGCGGGTAGAGACCCACAGAAGTATGCGTTGCATTCAGGAAGGATCGGGGGGGCCACGCACCTAGCAAGTATGGGGGCGTCGGTAATTCAGATCCAGAGAGCCGGAAGGTGGAAATCATCGGCTTTCATGGTGTACGTTAGGGCGGGGGGTGAAGGAGCAAAGTTTGTGTCTCAGGCCCTTACGGAACCCGAGGAGTGACCAGGGAGCGGTTCGGAGGAGTAGGTCATCGGACATGCCTAATGGAGTAAGATATGTTGAGGCCAGAGGCCGAAACAATAGTAATGATAGTAGGGCAATCTTGGGAAGTTTGCAACGGGTTAGTCCGATAAGTAAACGTTGTGAGCAAGACGGCATTTTACCTGCGCTCCCAATTTGTTTCATGTGTCTTGGTTTTTCTTTGGTTGCCTGCAGAAAAAATAATCCAGAATTCTTGAGCAAACATAAACGGGAAGATTCAGTACGTATTTGAATCTGTGGTTTGTGGAGGCGTGTTGGAATTCGGAAAAGCGGGGATCGAAGAAAAGTAGAGACAGCCCTGGTGGCAGAAAGTTTTTGTGCTCTCGCTGGGCGAGAGACAAGCAGCAAGTGCATTTGAGAGAAGGAGAGGAGTAGCAGAGATAGCAGCTTTGAGGAGCAGCAAATACAGAGTGCCGCCTAGGATTTGATCGATTTTCCCGCCCACCCACACCTATCGCTCAAGAGAGGGGGGAGCATGGGGGGGTCTAGTCGGTCGACGACTAGGAGGTACCGTGTAGGTAGTTTATTATGAGTAAGATATGTTGAGGCCAGAGGCCGACACAATAGTAATGATAGTAGGGCAATCTTGGGAAATTTGCAACGGGTTAGTCCGATAAGTAAACGTTGTGAGCAAGACGGCATTTTACCTGCGCTCCCAATTTGTTTCATGTGTCTTGGTTTTTCTTTGGTTGCCTGCAGAAAAAAAAATCCAGAATTCTTGAGCAAACAATAAAATACACTGACAAAGTGTTGGACTCTACATAGTCTACATGCGCTGAAAAAAAGTGTAGTACACGTCTCACCACGAAAAATGGGGGGACTGTCGCCATAATAAATAGGACGAAAACACACATCAGGGTGTCGCTTTCGTCTGGAATACATGTATAGACACATCAAGACCGGAGATGTATGGCACGTTGTTGTGTACGCAGAGACTCGTTCGTACACAACAATGCAGCAGCAGCAAGCAGTGGATGGATGCCGTGGTTATGTCTCGATCAAGAAGACCGGAGATAAATAGTCTATGACACATTGTTGTGTAGGAAGAGGATCGTACAGTAATGCAGCAGCAGCAAGCAGCGGATGCCGTGGGACCTCAGATTAAACAACGACAATACTTCCTTGACCTCGACCTCTCGTGAGTACGTGGGAGAGACGAGGAACTGNGTCTATGACACATTGTTGTGTAGGAAGAGGATCGTACAGTAATGCAGCAGCAGCAAGCAGCGGATGCCGTGGGACCTCAGATTAAACAACGACAATACTTCCTTGACCTCGACCTCTCGTGAGTACGTGGGAGAGACGAGGAACTGCGGACTTGCCACAGGAGATGGGGAAAGATAAAGAGAGTGGTGGTACACGCAGCATGATGAACGCTGTCCTAAGATGGCTGGTGGTGAAGTAGCACGCGCCTTGCGCGAGGACCGCGGGGTGTTTCTACTTCATCGCTCATATTCTGCCGATGCCAGTCGATCGTTCAGGTACGAGTGCCGAGATTACCCATGAGAGACTTGGTGGGTTGAGGAGCGAGATCTACTCGCAGGAGCGAGATCTACTTCAAACAAGAGTTCCGCCGCGTTGCAGGAGAGAGATCCACTGAGGCCAATTGTTATGGGGAATTCCAAATTGGAATTTCGGGGGGCTCCGTGAAAAAATG